GGATAGGCAAGCCTACATGTAACCTACGTGAGCGGCGTGGCCCCTACGCAAGCAGAACCCCTCATTGTCGGCCGTGGTCCTCCTCCATTTCTTCGTCCAACACGCGCTGATGAAACTCTGCCCACCCCGGAGGCAGGATCGCCTGCGAGAAGCAAGGCCAAGAGAATGCATCGAAGTCTCGCATGCTCATCTTGCGCTTGCCTTTCCCGAGCTCAGCTTTCCCAAGAGGGGAAAACCACCCTCAGCTGCATCTCCACGTGGCTGCAGCTCCTGCCAAAAAAGTAAGACAAGCAAGGGAGAAAGAGCTCAGGAAATAATAGCTTGAAAAGGATAGCTAAGGAAGATCTTCTCCCCATCTTGGATTCCCGATGCCAATCCCATGAACAGGCATTCTTCATTTGCGTGCTGAAAATACTGAGGTTCTGCTGCAGGAGTCTCAAGCGATGAAGTCCTGAAGCTTGGTGTAGACAACATCGCGCCCGAGCACTGCAACTTTGGCATAGCCCTGAGATCAAGGCAAGTAAGGTGATTGAAAGGAAGCTTGACGTGAGAGCAGAGAAGAACAAGTGGAACTGCGCCTGCGGGAGAAGAATGGAATCCACCTGGTCATGCAAAGGTTGCTTACCTCGTTGTTTTGACTCATAGCACCTCCAACCATCGAGCTCCTCGTGTTACTTCAACCACCTCAGGCACGTCACGGCGCGTCCATCAAGAGGGATCCTCTTTCCTCCTTGATGCTGGTTGCGAAAACCTCAGAGCCTGACAATGATGCGTATGTCGAACTCGTCAAAGGACAAGCCTCTGAGAACGGCTAACTCCTTGCGTGTGGGCTCGCGTGGGTTTTGGGGCTTGGCTTTCGTTGAAAATTTCCCAATTCTTGAGGATGATAATCCGCCGAGGCCCATACTCAGCCCCGCTTCCCCCCTCCCAGCGGACCGGGTCACAGGCAGTTCTTCTCCAACCCATTATTGGGCGGGCAGCTCTTGCGGGACTGGTCAGAAAGTCTGGGGGTGGGCCTCAAGTTGGTGAGAATCAGGCGACCCTCCAGGGGTTTAGGCTGGT